TTTTGCTTTTTTATGCTCTCTGCTACAATGTGATTTTTTACCTCTGTGCCAGCGTTCATTCAGTATGTGAAATCCTACTGCCCCAAACACTTCCACAGTCTACTGTGAAGTCTTGCCCAGTATCTCAGGGAACACTAATAATGCTATCCCTGGTGTCTTATATAATGGTCTAAATTACCTCCCAAATGCACTGTGAAATGTTTTGAGAATGAAATCCATTTCCTAAAGCTTTAATTTTTAATTCTCAGGTGCTTGCACATACTAGGTGCATATTGTTGTTAATTTAATAACTGGGTGATATTCTCTTAGGTTCCTTCTAGCTCTACTGCTCTCTAGTGCTATGATTCCATGGCTTGGCATTTGAACATTGGCTGTAGTTTTAGGAGGCAAACAATTCTTCTTTAACAATGAGCATTAATCCATTTCTGCTTACTCACATGTACATCAGGAATGGGTTTTGTCACCAGGGAGATTCCCAGGACAACCAGGATGGACACAAAAAAGAGGATGATGGCAAAGTAAAGATAGTGCACTCCACAGATGATCGTGGGACAGTCACTGGCAGCCAAGCAACTCCCCGTTCCATAGGTAAACTCTGCAATCATCCGAATGAGGCCAATCACGAGTCCAGTGATTAGGCCCCAGAAAGCTCCCTGCAAAAGAAACAAGAACACAATGAGAAATTTTAGAAAAGATGCGAAGCTCAGTACAATAACTCGTAATTATCACCCTGCCTGCTCTCCTAACCTAAGGATCAACAAACAGCTGACTTGAGCACAAGGTTACCAAAGCAGGGAAAGTCATAAGCTTGGGTTTACCAGTAGGCTGTGGCTCTTCATGGTCCTGAAACATCACTGCTCTGTTGGTCCTCCAAATCCAGAACCTTACTGTCTACCTGACCCAAGGTGACGTTATTCTTGACTTTTACATATAGATTTTAAGAACTGATGGGCTATTATGTGTAATAAAACAAAACTGTGACATACATTATGCATTTCATAAAGTTATATAGGTAGTTTTAACACTCCCATTAAGCTTTTGACAATTGGAAAACATTTATTTTTCTGAGAAGTTGGTGGGGGTGACAACTTGTGTTCTCTCTCAACCTGCTCCAAATGTTATGTTCAAGGGAAGCAATAATGCAGAGAGTTGAAGAATACGAGCTTTTCATATAAGAAGACTGAGTCTGAATCCCTATGGCCCCATTTACTAACATTAAGTAATTGTGCAAGGCACAGAGATATCAACCCTTTGAACCTGTTTCTCATATGAAAATTATAAAATTAAAGTTAATATCCAGGAACCACTGAGAAAGTCAACGTACATGGTCTATGCTGTTGCTGTTAGTTGCCATAGAGTTGCCACCATTCTGTCTCATGTGTGTCCCACGTGTGTCCGAGTATCAGAGTAAAACTGTGCTCCATAAGGTTTCCAAGGCTGTGACCTTTTGAAAACAGACCACCAGGCCTGTCTTCCAAGGTGCCACTGGGTAGGTGCTTACCATTTGCACCCAGGGACTTCATAGTGGTCTCTAGTAATCAATCAAATATATATGTATATGTGTCCATATACATATATGATAGGAATTAATATATACACCTAAGGCATTTGACTGCTAACCAGAAGACTGGCAGTTCAAACCCACCAGCCACTCCTCGGAAGAAAGGTTGGGCAATCTACTTCCATAGTGCTTACCATTTGCACCCAGGGACTTCATAGTGGTC